TCTACAGTACTGTACTGTACATACAGTAGTCAACCGTCAACGCCCTAGTGTACGTTGTACTGTAACAGGATATACTGTACACTGTACACCGTAGTTTCTGCGGACAGCATACTAGCCGGCAACTCTGTACGCATGCCGCTAATTGCTAGGTAACAGAAACAAGCTTCTGCACTTGAAAACCACTCAAAAATAAGTTAGGGTGCTACTACTGTCTTCTTCGAAGGTCAGAAACAAGCTTCCACACTTGAAAACCATTCAAAAATAAGTTAGTGTGCTACTACTGCCTTCTTTCAAGTTCGGAAACAAGCTTCCGCACTTAAAAACCACTCAAAAATAAGTTGGTGTGCTACTACTGTCTTCTTTCAAGTTCAGAAACAAGCTTCTGCACTTGAAAACCACTCGAAAATAAGTTAGTGTGCTACTACTGTCTTCTTCGATGGTCAGAAACAAGCTTCCGCACTTGAAAACCACTCAAAAATAAGTTAGTGTGCTACTACTGTCTTCTTTCAAGTTCGGAAACAAGCTTCCGCACTTGAAAACCACTCAAAAATAAGTTGGTGTGCTACTACTGTCTTCTTTCAAGTTCAGAAACAAGCTTCTGCACTTGAAAACCACTCAAAAATAAGTTAGTGTGCTACTACTGTCTTCTTCGAAGGTCAGAAACAAGCTTCTGCACTTGAAAACCACTCAAAAATAAATTAGTGTGCTACTACTGTCTTCTTTCAAGTTCGGAAACAAGCTTCCGCACTTGAAAACCACTAAAAACCACTCAAAAATAAGTTAGTGTGCTACTACTGTCTTCTTCGAATGTCAGAAACAAGCTTCTGCACTTGAAACCACTCAAAAATAAATTAGTGTGCTACTACTGTCTTCTTTCAAGTTCGGAAACAAGCTTCCGCACTTGAAAACCACTAAAAACCACTCAAAAATAAGTTAGTGTGCTACTACTGTCTTCTTTCAAGTTCGGAAACAAGCTTCTGCGCTTGANAACCACTCAAAAATATGTTAGTGTACGCGCATAGAGCTT